TTGACATTTTTTTAATAACAGCTAAGTGACTTAGCCTAGGGCTAATAACCCTGTTAAAGTCAGAGATCAATTTGACACTCTATCAATATTATGAACAGGAACCCATTCTAAATCGATAACAAATCAATATGTTTTCAATTCTGACAAGTGTCGCCACCTAAGAAATGTCTAAAGAATGTTAATCTATCAGGTCATCCCATAAGTTCTGTCCGAATTTTGAATAAAGAAAACAATTGACTAAATGTTACATTTAATCACAGATTCAGACAACAATGTATTTTCCCTGATTATCTATGACTTCCTTCCATCTATTAACAAGCTTACTAATTCCATTACTGTAAAATTCTTTTGGCTTTGATTCGAAGAACTCACAAATGTCAGTTTTAACCGCTTCCTGTGTTACAAAAGCTGTTTCTTCCAAATGATTCTGTAAGCTACGAAACAAATGGTAGTCTGAAGGAGCAAGATTGGGAGAATAAGGTGGATGAGGAATTTTCTCCCAACCAAGTTCTTTGATCTTTTGTGACGTGATTCTTGCTGTGTGGGGTCGCGCATTGTCCTGATGAAACATCACCTCTTTTCGATTCACTAGAGCAGGTATTTTCTTCCTCAAAGCTTGGTTCAAACGCTCTAATTGCTGACAGTATATTTGAGCATTAATTGTTGCATTAGGTGGTAAGAATTCAAAGTGGATTATTCCTTGGTGATCTCACCAGATTGAAAGAAGAACCTTTTACCCATGAAGTTCCCTTCTCGGCTGTGGCTGGGGTCCTTCCCCTTTACCAAGCCACTGTCTACAACGCTTAACATTTCGATGAAAGATCTATTTTTCGTCGCTAGTCACAAGTCTATCCAAAAAAGGTGAAACAAGTTGGCGAGAATGGAGAGAAGAGCAGATGTCAACTCGGGATTTGAGGTTGTTTTCAGACAATTCATGAGGTACCAATTTTCAAAGTTTAGGAACTTTTCCAAGTTGTTGAAGATGACGATGAACAGTTGTATGGTTTGAACTGAGAACCCCTGTCAATTCCTCAACTGATAAAGCAGGATTTTCTTCAAGGGTTGCTTCAAGAAGCTTTTCATCAAACTCAACTGAAAGTCCGGTTCAATCTTCATCTTCAAGGGTGAAATCTCCACCTCTGAATTTTGCAAACCATCTTCTGCAAGTTCTTTCATTCACACATTCCTCTCCATAAACTGAATGTTTCTAGCCGCTTCGACTGCTGAGTTTCCTTTCTTGAACACATAAAGCATTATGTGCCTCAACTGATTCTTGGGTACTTCCATGTTAGCAGGGTTTTAATCAAACAAAATTTAATTTTATTGTTCTCTGAAATAAAATTTGATCAGTGTAAATGCATCTAAGCATAAAAATAATGTTCAGCTCCATTAGACATTATAAAATACTCTTTAAATTTCGTTCATTTTAACAAAAAGTTCAAATTCGGACAAAACTTATGGGATGACGTGATATAAAAATTATTTCCTTCAAAATTTCCATATATTTATGATTATTCCAGTCTATTTAAGTAATTTCCATAAGTCCAACATATTGACTTATCTTACATTACCAAAGTATAAGACTAACGTATTAACTAACTTTACAGCTGTATGACACAAGGTAAGTGAATTAACTAAGTTTTCTAAAAAAATCTTTATCCAAAGAATTGTATACATTTTGTGATTTCTACATTTCGAATAGAATTTCAGTTCAAATTTCCGTACCCCATTTTGTTTCCAAAAAAGATGTCACTGGATTTATTAGTTGAGAAAATGGCTATACATTCGGTGAACAACTATTTTTGTTTTATATTCTTCATTTTCTGATTTCTCGTTAAGTGAGATTTTACAAATACATAAGTTGGCAACATATTTTCAGCTGACTAAAAATATTGATAATGCTAGCTCCTTGTATCAGTAAAACAGTCCAATTTGAATGTTGCTCTCCTCTCCACACATCAGTTTTCCAATTTCTTTTAAATTTCCTTCTGTTAAGTCGGGCGAAATCGATTAAATTCTAGTAAATCGATCAAAAACAAGTCATGCCTAATGGAATTATGAGGTGAGTCATTATTTCATGAAATGTTTGGACTAGTATCCTCATCCTTGGTTTTTCTCTGCGTTTCGGTCGATGAGTTCTTTGTCTTTCCGTGTTGTCTGCTAAAAGAAAAACGATCAAGCGTGAGGACTTTCGACTAAATAACTGTTAGAGTCATGACAATGCCTTATCTTAGAATTTCATACAATGATGAAGGACGAAGACTGTATCGGCCTAAAGTAGTAATAAAAACCGCGAGTATAAGAATAACCCGTAGAATAAAGTACTGTATTTATTAGGACAGTTCATGGAATATTGTTTACCTTTTTGGGTGATTTGGTTCATTTTTGCGATCCTTTCTTCAGTTCTCAAGGGGACGATTATTGGTCTGAGGGTTTATGGATGTAAGATGTTTTAACCCTTTGATTCAAAATTGGGCCAAATCACAACATGTTTTATGTTTTTTTATTTTTATCTATATATTTACATTTTTAGATGTATTTGAAATATTTGCAACATGTGTATGGAACCAAAACCCGCAAACCAAAGTCTGAGATCTTCTCTGGTCCTGCATAGTGACTCTCCCTTGGCTGTTCTCGCCACATCCCTGCTTCTGCTAACTGATATTGTTGTAATGCAGCAAAACGTAACTATGCTCCATTTACCAGTGCAATTTAATATATAGGCGATAGTAAGCATTTTAAAAGGGTACAGGGAGATTGAAAGGTTAAGATTTGATAAAAGGATAATTGACTTAACGAATAATTCAGCTTTTATGTATTTCTAAAGCAACGATGAATATTTTTCTTTAAATAACAGAAAAAATGTTAAAATGTAATTTTTTTTGTGAAAGACGTGTTATCGAAGTTTTGTGATGTCAATGAAACCCGTTGCCACTTCATCTGATGCCAACGAATCCTCGTTGTGTTATCTCGTAATGCTCGTTGTAGTAGAGACTTTGTAATCGCAGATACAACTATGGTAACGCCATTGAACAATACCGGTGTCAGACGCCGTTGAATAACATTCACACTAATAGTACTTGCTCAATAATACTCGCTCGTATTGTAATCCGTATAGTAATCTGAATAGAGAAATAGTATAGTTCATAGAGTAGAGAATAACGCTCTGTATAGTGATTTTCCAAGCGTAGCTTAGATGTGGAACAAGGCCGAAAGTATGGGGTACCCAGTGAAGATCGAACTCACTATTCAGTCGTAACTGTTTTAGCGAGACAAGCTTGCTAGCCATTATACCACACCGACATGCCCATAGTGGTCCGTATAGTAATAGAGGATAGACTAGAAATAGCGATCCGAATAATAATAGAGAATAGAATAGAAATGATGATCGTTAGTCGTCAGTTACTTCCTACATATATGCGTTTCCTCTATGGTCACGTGGTCTAGTTAAATCAATAATGGGATCTGTGTTTGCTCACTGGTGAGCAATGTTCAAACTCAAATGTCGGCCGCGACACTTTATTCCTATATAACACGAAGTATACAGAAAAAACAAATCCCGTTCAAAGTAATACTTTGAGAAAACGATGAAAATTAGATGTTAGAATAATACTTGCAAAGAATATCCTAAGAAGAAGAGAAAATTGTATCGTACAATTATATTTAATACATTATACCAGGGGAGTTGGTAGATAGTGTAGAGCAAATCTACCAGAAGCCAAACTTATTCTTGACATAGGATTGAATTCTTAATTGCTGGCACTACCGAAGGAAATTACCATTAAGATGCATTCGTGTAGCAGAGCATGCAGTCTATGCATGCATATTAATAGATTGTAGATTCTCGATGGCGCGTAGGTTTTAAGACGTGGAGTTGCTAGTCCCACAACCAATCTGTTTTGAATTCAGAGTTGTCTATTGCCTATTACCAATCTGAAAAGTTCCCGTCTCGACAAAGAAGTTCACCTGGACTGGTTGCCAAGCAAATGTAGAGATCCTAGTCTGTTTTATTTAGCTGCGGACGGTGATTCATACCTTTGTGCGAAAATGATCGCAACGCCTTTGGCTGGAATTTGAACTCAACACACCAATCCCACTTTTGCGCCGATAACCGCCATGCTACGCACAAATACATAGCATACCAAACCTCTCATGATTTTTATTTGAATTGGTAGCACCTTTATTTAAAATCGATAGACCATAATCTTTGTAATGGTAAGAGTAACCGTTTCCCTACAAAGAAACATTTCGCATTCATTGACCAAGCAGCTAGTACTAGTTAAAAATTATAGAATATTTCTCTTAAAATAATTTTTCAGAAAAATAGATTTCTCAAGTCCAGTAGCTGTTATAGATCTTTCCAGTATGGATGGTGGTTTCCTTCCTAACCTTTTGTTTGAAGTACTGTGGAACATCTTGATAATGTCATTATTTTCTCTTCGACTTAAAATCAAAATCAAACACTCATACGAAAATGGTTCTGTTTCCACCTGTTAGTAAATTGAAGTTCTTGTAAAATTTGCAACATCCGTCTATAGCTTTGTAACGAGGTTGACATTAATCTCTGAAACTCAAAATCCGGAGAATGTTGTTTTCAAAATGGTGGTCTTTTCAATGAAGAAGTAAAGATTAATGCTATAGTTTTTCTATTTGTGTATATTCTGAGTATATTCAAGTACTGCAATGTTTATGAGAGTAGCTTTAGCCACCTTTGTCCATTTATACCTTGAATGGAATGAAAATTACATAGTCAAACTATTCCTTGGATCTATCGTAAAATTTAATTATTCGCTTTCCTTGTCGATTATTATAATAAAGTTAAAGTAATAAAGTTTATTTTTTCAAACATTCACAAACGCACAATCGAGAACAACAACAATCAATTGGCCCTATGATGAAGTCATGTCGACAAGAATATCGTCCATTTGCCTATAATGTTTTTTATCTGATTTACAGAATAATCGATTACATATTTTATCAAATTAATGGGGATTGGATATTTAGTTCCCTTGAAACATAAGAATCATAACAAACGGAAAACAGATAGATATATAGATAGATATTAACTGTCTGAAAAGGAAAGAGGAAAATATGCTTATATATATATATATATATATATATATATATATATATATATAACATATTTTTTTCATCTTTTTCAGCTATTAATATATATATATATATATATATATATATATATATATATATATATATATTAACGAGCTGAAAAAGATAGGCAAATAGATATTAACTGGCTGAAAGAGATAGATAGATAGATAGATAGATAGATAGATAGATAGATAGATAGATAAGAATAAACTGGGATAGATAAATAGATAGATATTAACTGTCTGAAAAAGAAAGAGGGAAATATACTTATATATATATATATACATATCTATATATGATGCTGATTGATTCTATGCGTAATTATTTCTTTGTATATAAATTATATGCTGCCTAATGTTTTATGTTTATATATATATATATATATATATATATATATATATATATATATATATATATATATAAACGAGCTGAAAAAGATAAAAGGCAAATGTATATTAACTGGCTGAGATAGATAGATAGATAGATAGATAGATAGATAGATAGATAGATAGATAGATATGAACAGACTGAGATAGATAGATAGATAGATAGATAGATAGATAGATAGATAGATAGATAGATAGATAGATAGATCTGTGAAGATGTTCAGCGCCAGTTAGTATCTCTAGTGGTGGGTGGGAAATGTGTTACGCAGAACGTTAATGCGTGTTATTACAGCCTTACACCATTTATAATTCTGTACAGTACGCATTATTTATGAACTCACAGCTCACACGATAATTTGATCGCTACCAAGAGGCAAAATGCAGAAAATTGTAATGAAGTAGAGAGAGAAATATCATTCAGTATTGACGAAGCAGATTTTTTGTCAAAGATGAAACCACTTTTCCGAATCCCAAAAATGAGAATGATTTAAAAAACCTAAAATATGATCAAAAGCACAGCCGAAGAAGGAAAACAAATGATGGGAAAAATGGTGAATAAGTCTTGTCAGCTAAAAGAAAGAAAGAAGTGTGAGAAAGAAAGAAAAAAGAAAATCTTCTTTCAGTTTTTATGCCTCTTTCTACTTCTTCCTCTTTCTGTCTGTGTTTCCATCCTTATAAAGCGTTTTTCATAAAGACGGATTATATACAAGGGTGTTTCATAAAGACGGATTATATATAATGGTGTTTCATTAAGACGGATCAAAGTCAGCAGTAAATAAATCAGTTTTATTGGTGAAAATTTATTTATTTCTCTATTGGATCATGTTATTTAAGGCATGGCAATTGTGTGAAAAATAATATCGCTCAAATATCCGCCAAATCTGAAAGAAAAAAATCATTAGACGTTTAAACTTAATTCACATTTTAAATAGTTATTGAGACACCCTTTACACATGATCCCAATCCATACATACAGTAATCTTGTTTCTCTGTTTTAAATGTAAACAAATAAGAATGTCTGAAGATATGAACATACACATGTAAGCACACCCTCAGTACGACGATGGTTAGCAAGTTTGTCTTGTATAGACTAACTCGCAAGTGTGGAAAGGTCCATTCACTTTGAATGGACTTTATAAATAATAGCACATACATACATACATGCATACATACATGCATAATAGCACATACATACATATATACATACACCGAGAGTGAGAGGGTACTTCGATGTGGTATAATGGTTAGCAGGCGTGTCTCGCTTTCTCAATTACGACTGAAAGGTGAGTTCGATCCTCACTGGGTTCCCCATACTTTCGACATAGTGCCACGTCTAATGTACGCTTAGAAAATCAAAAGGGCGCCTGGACGGGATGTAATGGTTAACAATCTTGTCTCGCTAGAATATAAAAAATTTAATTTCCTACTAAATCCAAGATCGTGTGCCAGACACAAAACTTAATAGAAACATCAAGTTAGGCGCAAAATTACAACCACTGTGTAAAATTTTTAAAAACGAAAAACATTTATTTTACAATATTACAAAAAAAAAAAAAAGGTAAAAGTTTGCACAAAAAATTCCTTTTGTGCTCCTATTACGACCAGGATAACAAGTTTCTGACGTTACAAAAAAGAGATTACCTTCAGATATAAGGAAAATGTGTGAGAGTTTTTTGAAAAAGTTTTCGTATTTAACAGTGATGTTCTCTGTCTATTATTTCAACCTCATCCCATAGGGGACGGTGATCTCCCTTTTCTCTCTCTATATGTTGTCAGCTAGGCCTGATTTTTCTATTTCGTCTCGTGTTATGGCTTTACTGTGTTCTTGCAGCCTTACCGTAACGAGGAAGGCTTGTTTCTCCTTTAGATTTCTTACCACGAAAAAGTCACTGATAAAAATTTTGTACCCCTTAAAAGTGGGAAAAAAGGGAAAAATTTTGAGGAAGTAAAAAAAAAAAAATGCGCAAAGTAGAAAAATACAAGTGCACCCATTTCAGTTGTTTAACTGAATGCTCAAAGGACGTCCCAGCACGAAGTGACTTCGAGTTTTACACAGGTTGTTTTCTCGAGGGCTTTTTGAAATACTTTATGGAAAGTTAACTTGAAAGTTCTTTCGGTTTAAACTCTTCTCAGGAAGGCACAGAAAGGAATGTTCTGTTCTGGGGTAGAATCTGCCTGGAATCTGTTGAATCGGTTCTGTCTTTCCCCGTGTTGATTTATGACCCCTCGGCTGAATTGCTCCTCCGACTTTTGAGCGTGGACGCTGTGGCTTCTTTCTCGGCTGTTAATTGCTTTCTTGTCAACGGTTCATTCTTCGTGTGCCGATCCGCTAAATAGCAGTGCTTTTATTAAACAAAGGAGCGTCATACCGACTCAATTCAAGTTTTCACAAGGGCTTCAGAGATCGTCTTTCATTGACCAATAAACAGAAACTTTCCCTCTCCATGAATTTAAAAATGAATCCGCAACAAATCAAATAATTTTAGTGGTATCAGACGCTTGACCCTAAAAGGCCATAAAAGTGAAACAATTTTTACCCGAACTACCGTGTGGCCTTCATAAAATACACTTCTTTCAGAAAACGTGTATTAAAAAAAACCAAAAAAAAAACCATAACTCAGTTAAAATGATAAAAATTAATTTTTTCTACTCTCTCCTCAAAAGAATTTGCAACAAACAAATTTAGTTTCTTGCAATTTTTCTTTTTTTTTATAGGAACACATTTATTGAATAAGGTTTTTTACAGGAAGGCTTAAACTTAAGAAAATTTTATACGCAAAAGGGTATATTAATTTGTTGCATTTTTTTTTATGGGAACATATTAATAGAAAATTTTATGCATAAACATGTGTATTAATTTATTGGAAGTTTTTTTTAGGAAAATATAGAATTTTTTTTACACATTTGTTTCATTGTTAGCGGACTAATTAATTTAAGGAATGTGTTATTTAACCAAAGATTCCCTCATTGTTTTGTCGATTTCTCTTACTCTGAAGCCTAAAACTTTCTCTAAATTGCAACCATGTTCAATAAACTTTCCATCTTTCTTTATTTGAGTTTTATCACTCTTACAATTACTATTGCAAGATCTCAAATAAAAGTTTCCTTCAATCATTTTATCTGTTGATTCTTGGTTAAGATACAATAGCTTTTCAGGATAATTACTAGTTTTCTCCAAATTAGAATGAAAATTCTTTAACATTTCAGTGTATTCAACTTCCTGGAATTTATTGATACGATGGAAAAATCGCAAGAAATATAAATAGACTGGCAACAAAGCCACAAATGTGTGCAAAGGTAGCAAATTAAACAAAATCTATCCTTATCTTCTTCAGCCTTAAGTGAGAAAAACCTTAATGTCTATTAGAAATACATTTTTGTTTATATACAATAATAATAATTCCAATATGTTTTCTATTCGGTTTATGCCAGGTTGGGCTGCTTCATTTAGTGAAGGGGACTCATTTGCCTTAAGTGAACAATTGTACATTATTTTGGTATTTGTTTGTTCCTCAGATTTGAACATAGATCTATGAGGTATCGAAATGCTGTCAAACTTATCAGGAGAAACATCATCCGGAACATTAATGGTTTTATGTTCCGTAAACTTTTCATTTATAATGACATTTGTAGATATAGTATCAGCGTCAAAAATTTCATCAAAAACTTTCATCAGCGGCAGAAATTATTTACATTAATTACATTGTTCCGTTATACGCTCCGGTCTTCTTCAGGTGATTGGAATTTCGAATTGAACCCTTTATTCCGTCTACCGAGGTAGATTGTTTCAGTTCCACGCCTTTCCCGGATGTTTAGGTATTGAACTCAAACTCTTTGAGCCAAGTCACGGGATCCAACAAACGCTTTTATCAACTAGGCCATGTGTCTTGGAGGACATGTGTATATGAATTTTGGGGGCTTATAAACTTAATGTCTTAGTAACAATTTCTTTTTACCAGGAGCTCATATTGCAATTTTGTTATTATTGCTTTTCTCTATTACTCCGTATTACTGGTTCCTATATTGTATTCATTTCAATGCTTGGCCCGCTTAGGAAATTTTCGTGGCCTAGAATATGTGCTAATTGCTTAGGTTTTCGTATTTTCCAGCGATATCCTCTGCTATTATTTCAACCTCATCCCATAGGGGGCAGTGATCTCCCTTTTCCTTCTATATGTGGTCAGCTACGCCTGATTTTTCTATTTCTTCTCGTGTTACAGTTTTACGATATTCTTGCAGTCTTAAAGGGGTAGGCTGGTTTCTCCTTTATATTTATTACCACATCTGCACGGGATGGCGTACACACAGTCTTTAGTTATGTTTTCTTTATGGGGTGTCTTATGCGGAAGAGGTGCCTGCGAAGTGTCGAAACTTTATGGGGTGTCTTATGCGTCAAAATTCCAATCACTTGAAGGAGGCTGGAGCGTACAAAGGCTGAAACGTCGTGAATATGGCAACGAAGATGAAGACAACAGTTTGAACAATGTGAATGATGTAAATAATTACAATACCTCATCTATAGACAGATCCTGAAGAAAGCCGGAGCGTACAACAGCCGAAACGTCGTGGACATGTCAATAAAGATGTAAGTAATATAAATAATTAAAATACCTCATCTCAGAAATATAGACAAATAGCGTCAGAAATATCACAATTTTATAATCAACAAAGACACTAGATATTTCATCAACTTTTTTTATTTTATATATCTTATCTAATTCTTCCATATCGGAATTGTTCAAAAGTATTAGTCCCTGATTCTTCCGTATTACTATCAATGTAAATATAATCTATTTGGTCAGTAATATTCTCCATGGTCTCTAAACACTTATTTATCGCTTGCTCTTGGACAAAGAGATAGATCTTTTGAATATTTTCTTTGGCTTTAAACGAGTTTATAGACCTCTCAATCGTTTCTTTGAACTTACATCTTCTTTTCAATAGTATAGAAATTTCCTCCATTTTTTTTATTAACTTCCAGTAAAGTTACCTTAATTTAAAGTTTAAATTTAAGTAATTTTGTACCAAAGACAATACGAGACACAATATATGCTTAAATTTCAACGTCGAAGCAGAATTTTACATGAAGAATTCTCGATTTAGTTTATAAAGTTAATATTTTAAGAAACTTCAGTAACACTGAATTTTCATTTAAAGTATTTTTTAAGAAATGAAGGACACAATTTACGCTTAAATCCTACAGATTATTTTATCGTTAACTTTGTTAACAAAGCAATAGCTCCAGTAGGAATAGACGTTAATTTTTTTTTTAATTTTTTTTTTAATTCCTTAAAAATTCACGCAACAGAATATTGTAAAAACGAATACAAATTTTGTTCTCTGCATTCAGGAATTGACAACAGCATTGTTTTTTGTGCAAAATATAAAAAAAATATTTCCTACCAAATTCAAGTTCTTGTGTCAGACACAAAACTTAGTAAGAACAGCAAGTCACAATGATAGGCGCAGAATTACAAAACAAGACAACCATTACGTAAAATGTATTTTACAATATTGCAAAAAAAAAAAAAAAAAAGAATGATATAAAACAAGGTTGCACAAAAATTTCCTTTTGTGAGCCCATTAAAGCACGATAACAATTTTCTGATGTTACAAAAAGGGAATTACCATCAGATATAAGGAAAAAAGTGTTAGACTTTTTCGAAAAAGGTACGGATTCTGACAAAAAATTGCATCCTTTAATAATGGAAAAAAGGAAAAAAAATTGAAGAATTTAAAAAATTGCACTAGGTAGAAAATACAAAACGCACTCACATCAGTTCTTAACTGAATACTAAAAGGAACGTCTCAGTTCGAAGGTCTTTTCACAGGTTGTTTTCTCCAGGGCTTTTTGAAGTATTTTGCTGGAAAGTTAATAATTTGAATGTGCATTCCGTTTAAATTCTTCCCAGGATCGCACAGAAAGGAATTTCTGTTCTAGGGGTAGAATCTGCCTTGATTCCGTTAACTGTCGGCTCTGTCTTTCCTCGTGTTTGATTTATGGCTCCTCGGCTGGACTCCTCGTCTTTAAAAGCGTGGATGCTAAGGCTTCTTCTTCGACCGTTAATTGCTTTCTTGTCAACGGTTCATTCTTTCTGTCCCGATCCGCTAAATAGCAGTCTTTTATTGAACAAAGGAGCGTCATACAGGCCCAAATTTTCACGAAGACTTGAAGAGATCGTCTCTCATTGGTCAGTAAATAGAAACCGTCTCTCTTCATGAATTCTAAAAATGAATCCGCAAAAATCAAATAATTTTGGCGGTATGAACCGTTTGAACCCAAAAATGCCATAAAAATACAACCATTTTTACACGAACCGTCCTGCCTTCATAAAATACACTTCTCTCTAAAAATGTGTATTAAAAAAAACAATTAAGACGCTGATACATTTAGACGATCATAACATTTTTTAAAACAATAAAAATTACATTTTTATAAAAATAATTACGGCTGAATAGCGAGTTTGATCCTCACTGTGTGCCACATACTTTCAGCTTGTGCCCAATTTAATCTACACTTAGAAAATCGCCATCCACTGAGCATGAGAAAAAGATAACTGTTTTTAAACAGTTTCTTTTAGACTCTTTTCATACACTTACGTACAAATACGTATAGAGAGAAAAAATTATATATATATATATATATATATGTGTGTGTGTGTGTGTTTGTGTGAGTGTGTGTGTGTGTTTGTGTGAGTGTGTGTGTGAGTGTTTTTGTGTCTGTGTTCAGATATAACTAAAATATCTACAGGCATACCTCACCTAACGTCGGTAATTTGTTCCAGGAGAGGCGATTTAATTCGAAAAACGACTTATTCGAATTTACTTATCTCCGAATTTATTTATCACTAGGCTAAACCACAAATAACCATTCCCAGTTCTGTATTTTATTTATAAATGCATTTTAATAATATATGGTCAAAAGAATTTGTTTTAAGCTTACAAACAAATAAATTTTAGTTTTCAATATAGTACATAAAAAAAGTAATCTAAATTTACGAATACATGTACGTACATACTTGTAAATGTAGATGTTTACAATTTAGCGATCTTTAGAGTACATCACGGACTCTGTGTATGTGGTTTGCTCTAAGACATAAAATAAAATGATTTTGTAAGGTTAAATAACAAATACAGTTATTAAAATTAGATAGTAGAAAATAAACTAATTTATCTTTGCAAATATTTACATTCAATTTATTCATTTACATCGCGGACGTAGATGGCTGTTGATTATCAGCATCAACAGCTGATTTTCTGGCTTTTGTTGTTGTTCGATATGCTTTTTAATAAGAAACTGGCCGAGATTTCCTTGAATTGTGTTCTTTTTCTTTTATTCAAAGATTACATGATAAGGAGCAAAAGCTTTGTGATAAACGTGCATAACTTTTGAAAAACGTTGACCACTTGACCTCGAAGATTTGAAGTCCTTTTTCAATAAAAGCAAATGCTTCCTGCATTTTCTTTAGGGAAAAGTGACGTGACTCTGGCTCAACTTCTTCTTTTTTTTTTTTTTTTTTTTTTTTTGCTGTTCGTTGAGGTCTATCAAATCCTCGTTCGTTATAGGCTGCTTATTTTTTTGTTTTTTTTTTCAAATAAATCTATGAAATCCTCCTCCTCCAAATCCATTTCCAGTTCTTTGCTCATGATCACCAACGTTTTGTGGATTTCAACATTATGAAACCCATTGAAATCATTCACGAATTTCGGGCATAGGTTTTTTATGTCCGTGTTCTGAACATCATTCCATGCCGCTGCCATGTTCTGTATAGCCTTATATATGCCATACTTCTTCCAAAAGTCACGAAGTGTACATGACTCATCATGATCAGTTGTAGCTATTGCTTGCCGCAACGTACACTCCATATAGTAAAACTTAAAGATTACTATGCTTCCTGTTCCATTGGTTGTATAAGATACGTAGTGTTCGGAGGGCGATACACGACGGTAACGTTGGGATGAAAATCTACGGGTGGCCAGGAGCATTATCAATTATTAATAATATCTTAAAAGGAATCCCCTTCTTTTTAAAATAGTTTTCTGCTGCCGGGATAAAATGATTAAAGAACTAATCTTCAAAAATAACAACAGTCACCCATGCTTTTGGTTTAGCCATCTATGTAACGGGAAGATATGCTTTGATTACATTCTTCAGGACATGGGGGTTGTGCGCATTATACATCAGCAATGGCTTTAATTTAAAATCTCAATCACAATTACCTCCTAACATAACGGTTACACTTTCTTTTGAGACGTTGCGGCCAGGAAGTGATTTTTCCTTTTTGGAAATGAAAGAACGGTCTGTCAATTTTTTCCAGTATAATCCAGTTTCGTCAACGTTAAAAATCTGTTCAGAAAGAAACCCGTTTTCTTCGATGATCTTAGCCAATGCTTTAGGAAAATCGGCTGCTGTTTGCTCGTCAGCTGGTGCACTTTCACCTTGCTTCTTAATAGAGTGATAACTTCTTCGTTCTTTAAATCTCATAAACTAACCTTGACTCGCTTTAAACTCGACATCTTTCTCATCTGGATATTTTTTTGTTCAGATCCTCAAACAAAGACAACGCTTTCGCTTGAATGATTTCTTGACTAATAGCAGCACGCTGATTATTCAACCTATCAATCTTAAGAGAAAGAAGTTGTTCCATCTCTTCAAAGATTTTTCCTCTTTTCTTATTGATAACAATATTCTTCATCCCTGGAGCATCAAATTTGATATGTGCCAAAATCTTATCCTTATTATGAACACTCGTCGATACAGTTGTCTGACTCATTCCAAAAGATCGAGCAATCGATATAACATTTTCACCTTTTTCATGGCGTTTATTAATAGTGAGTTTATCGTCCAGTGTTATAGCATGACGCTTAGCACTTGCACTAGGAATTTTCTCAGGAGCTATTGGGGCAAAATATAAAGTCACAAATGAATGAGAATGAGAGAGTAGGCGATAAGCAGACGTATACCGTGCGTATGTCTAAACTAAACTGGATTCAATTTCGCAGAAATCATGAATGGCGCTGACAATGACTCCAAACGGTAGATATTGAAATGGAAAATGGAAAACGCCAACATTGAACTCTTAAAGACCGCTAAATAAGACGACAACACAGAGTCACAGATGTTTTTATATTTCGTTCTCTAGGATTTACGATGATCATATTAACATTTACTCTAAATGTACGTATTTTAATATGATTTTATATGCATTTATTCTTATTTATTGTACAGTAAAATGAAATGATGTGCTTTTAACGCTTTTCTAGTGATATTACGACTTCAGTATTTGTAGCGGACAGACGTAAAGTCGAATAAAATGACTTAAATTTGATTTTTATTTCTCCATACATTTTTTGATAAACGACGTATAATCGAGAACGGCTTAACGACGTAACCCGAGGCATACCTGTATCTGTAAAAGGACAATATAAATAAAGACAAAAGGAAAATATAAATAAAGACAAAAGGAAAACTTATCTTAGCCGACACGTTTCGTCTTCTGTGGCACTTTATCAAGGGAAATGTGAGAATTTTATTTTGCAGCAAGTAATTTATAAACAAAAGTAAATATTGATATTTAATATATTTTCTGTCCATGCGTTATTTTAATAGATACAATTTATTTAAGTAAATCCTCTGTTTTTATTAAACAGTATTAATTACTTTTATCGGCCTGAATGTTGAAGAAATTTCTTAGAAAAATATGCGTTCTCCGACAAGAATCGAATCTGTATTCCTATACGGAAACCGTCATTTGATCTGACGTGCTGTACTATTTCGCTACAGTGAAGTTAGCAAGTCCAAATTATTGTTTATAAACAATTGTTCTTGATCGATCATTTTTGCTCATGAAATGTATCTTAACGTAAACAATGATAACATATCATGTAAGGGATATGTAATTATTTTTATTATTTAATATATATTCTGTTTATAGGTTATTTTTCATAGATACAATTTATTTAAGTAAATGCTCTGTTTTTAATTAAACACTATTAATTACATTTACCGGCCTGAATGTTCGAGAAATTTCGTAAAAAATATGCGTTGTTAGTTTTTCAAAATTTTGTAAAACGAACAACACTTTCGCTTTTGTTTATAAATATTTGTTGCAAAATAAAATCCATACATTTGCCTTGATGAAGACCATCAGAGGACGAAACACGTCGGTTAAGATAAGTTTTCCTTTTGTTTTTATTCATGCGGGGGAGGCGCACGTGCGTGTTGGGTGGCATCTATCTCTCTTTCTATATAATAAATTTCTCAGTATTTATCAATATTTTCTTTCTCTGTCTAGGCGAGTTACTTCCGTTTTTTTCATCCTTTCTTGTATCTATCTATCTATCTATCTATCTATCTATCTATCTATCTATCTATCTCAATCCATTGATATCTATCTATCTACACTATTCAAATTATTCGGACTATTGTCCTCATCTTTGTTGCCATATTTATCACAACGTTTCGGCTGTTGTACGCTCCGGCCTTCTTCAGGTGATTGAAATGTCGAACTGAACCCTTTATTTCGCTCGCTGGAGTAGACTCTTCTAGTTCCACGTGCCATGTCTAATGAATGTCAGTTATCAGTTATCTCCTGTTAATTCCCCTCTCCAAGTTCTCCACTCACACTCACACACTTTGGGTTCTGTAACTGAATCTAACTAACGCCTTTATACACTATGCCATGTCTCCTTGAGGACATCTGTGTGCGAATTTCTGGGTATTATAAACGTAATGTCTTCAGCAATCATTTTTTACCAGTGCTCATATTGCACATTTTTTTTTGCTGTTGTTAGGCCACAATAATCTCCTGAGCCGACCAAGCATAGAAATGAATACAATATGGGAGCCAGTAATAAGGAGTGCCTGAGAAAAGCGATAATAACAACGAAGATTGCAATATGAACTCTGGTAAAAAAAAAAAAGAATGCAATGATAACAGCAAAAATTGTAAAAAAAATCTTATCTCAGAAATATAGACAGATCTATCTATCTATAAACTCATTCTATCTATTAGCTTGTCAGTCTATCTGTCTATCTATAAACACATTCTATCTCAGTCCATTGATATCTATCTATCTATCTATCTATCTATCTATCTATCTATCTATCTATCTATCTATCTATCTGTCTGTCCTTTAGATATACCCCTCTTCCGGGTTTCTTCGTTTTTCACAATCCGCCATTTTCCAAATCTAGATGGCCGATGACCAGAAAATATCTGGCTGTATCCCAACGACGAATGTTCGCCAGAAACACCGAACTTCCCGCCTGATGCTCAGAAATAATTCAGATCGGGAAAGAAGGGTATGTTGGGTAGTGAAATTGGCAAGATGCAGGTTGGTGTAAGTGCTGATGGCTTCGTGCTATGATTGGGTGGGTAGGGTTATCGACGTGATGAATATAATGAGCTGAGAGCCAGGGGGGAAATGATTCTGTATCCCGCATACTGCTCTTTACAGATGCTGGGTTGAGGAAAGTTGGGCTCACAGAGGTTGGGTCAATATGCGTAAGGGGAACGTGTGAAGGAAATGTCCTCCGGGAAGAATAAAAGAAAGGTTGTAGCACGGCCAGTCACAGTGAAATAATTCTTCTTCGTCTGAGTAATCCTACTCATTCTGCTCAAATCTATAAATATATCCATCCGTCTATCTTTGAAATATATATGGTGAACTCTCCCGTCGTATTCGACGTATGAAGGTCAGCAAATATATATATATATATATATATATATATATATATATATATATATATATATATATATATATATATACGCATATTGTGTATTTAGTCAGCAATCCTTCATTTATGCACGTTCTTCACTGAAGACAACAGACAAGGTATTACGATTAATCTTTTTATTTATTTTAGAATCTGTCCAAATGTTCTATAATTCCGAGCGCTTTCGTCTATACTTTTAGACATTATCAAGGATAATTTTTGCTTTTTAATTGGGTGTATGGGCTGTATGTATGTTCCTAGAGTTATAGGGATGTTTTATTTTTCATTGTGTCCATTTTCGTAGTTAATATTGTTAAGTGTAAGCTTTTTTTCTTTTTAATTATTAAGGTTTCCATTATTTTTAATCTTTTTTTTTTGCATCAGGATGAGGTTATTATGCCTGTATTTTCTACTAGTATGTTTCGGGTGGATTCGGGCAAGTTTGGGCGTGTGTTTAAATGAGTTCAAATAGAGCTGTAGTCGGATAGGTGTAAACGTAAGAATTACCGAACATATGAACAGTTTCTACACACAGTGTCCAGAAAAGAAAACACATGTTCACACACCAGAAAAATTAAATAAAAAGCTTAATCGTAATACTTTGTCTGTTGTCTTTAATGAAACACACACACACACACATATATATATATATATATATATATATATATATATATATACACACACAGTGAAGAGGCATTAGTTGTCCCAACGAGAGAAAAATATATATTAAAAAAGAAGAGAAACCGCAAATATTTTTGGTTGTAACGTGGATTTTTTAAAAAATATATATTATGCTTTCATTTAAAACGTTTGCGGTTTCTCTCTTCTTTATATATATATATATATATATATATATATATATATATATATATATATATAAAACTGTTTGATTATATTATTATCGGCAACACAGCCTGATCTCCCCTTCTTAGTAATGGCACATTTCGTTAAAAGGAGACACTATTTAATGCTAATATTTTACTACCATAACTAAATATCTTGCAAGTAGGGGAGACCGGGTTCATTTTTCTTTTGTTTCGGGTTTGCGTTATTTCAATTCTTTTCTTTTTGATTTTCTAAGGAACTGTTGAAAATTATCAGCTTGACCAACAAGCTCTTTTTAAAAAAATCATGATGTTTGGTCATTTGTTCAGACTTTAGGAAGGTCGATCGGTCGGTCAGAAAACTTTTCAACATCTTTCGTAATCATTTAAGAAGTAAAAGTTTTTCTTACATCAAGAATAGACTTAATTGTACAGATATAATTCCTAGATTAGTTAAGCAGAAAATACATTAAAATATATATATAAAATATATAAAACGGCGAAATCCCTCCGCTAACTAAATGTAAATCTTAAAAATTTAGTTAGCGAAGGGATTTCGAACTTTACTAATTTACTTCTTGTATGAATGATTCATTATATATATATATATATATATATATATATATATATATATATATATATATATATATATATATATGTCCTATATAATTATTAAATACATCTTGAAGAGTATTGCTAGAGACTCTTTCCTAACTACTAATCATAAGTAATCAGCCTCAACAGTGTCGTGATATGCAACATCTCAATTCTTTCCATTTCTCTTTATTTATTCTAATTTCATTTGTGCTCCTATAAGCACCCTTTTACTAAATTTCCTTTAATCTAATACAGGTAGGTAGAAATGGCGTACTTGCTAAGGACCGAACTAAGTACAGAAACGTAGTGATTGATTGATTTTTTTGATTGACTGATCGATTTTTTATGGCTTATCAATTTTGTGGGATCTTGTACTTTTTACTTTTTTTACTACCTAAATTGTATTGTCAATCATCAACTATAATAATCGACAGGGCCGGTGTTTACTACCCCGAACCTCTCAACCGCATAGAGACCCCATGCCTACCGTGGTGGTAGAAGTGCTAGTTTCAGTAGTGCTTATTTTTTTAATTGTTATTTTCTTACTGAACAATTCTTTTAAATCAGTGAAGATGCTAATATATCTCGGTAAAGTCTTTTTTTATTCTGAGGTCATCCATTAAGGATGATCTCTGATTTTTTTTTTTTTTTACTAATAGTAATACTAACTACAAGCCCACGGTTAGTAATTAAAATAAAATTTCTAGTCCTTATTTTTTACAATTTAAGAAGATAAACCAGAGAAAATGATCGCTTAAAAAATAAAAATCTTTAAAGATTTCAGCACATGAAAAATTTTCCCGAAAACTGAAATACTGTTTTTAAAACAAATTTTTAAGACAATCCCGTTTCTGTTGTGTTGGAATCTCTGTAAAACTTTTTTTTCTCAGCGGAGGTGCGTCGGTGATTATGCAAATTTGTGACTTAGACATTTGTTTTTGAGTAAAATTTAGTTATGAAAATATTGGTGGTTATTACAAAAAGAATAAAATTTTCTCAAATTTTTAAAATAAAAAAAACCTATTCATTATAAAAGTAAATAATGAATATGTACTAAAATTTTCATTTAAATTGGATAATTCCCTGATGTTTGGCAATTTAAAAAAAGCACTGCCCCTCCCACCCTCAGTAGAGTGGGGGACCTCGTATCAAAGTTTCGGGTGTGGGGCTGGACCGAGAGCCTAGCGCCGGCCCTGTAAATGTTCACTTCAGACGCTCTTCGTAGCCCTTCCTATTTACTTAACAATGCAACTTTCAACGTCATCGATTTTCTCTGGCTTTAAAGTAAAAATTAGAATACATTAAGTAGAACGTCTCAGAAGATAATTCTTGACATGGTTATAAAAATGGCCGATCATAATCGGGAGTCAAATAACCTTAATGTTTGTTTATAATTAATTAGTATTCGATGATACGAACTGGCCCTAGAGTTTTCTTAGTCGAACTAAAAGAAAAATGGCTGCTCAGCATAGACAGTGGATTTCTAAGAGATCAAATACAGGCCAAGTCATCTGTTGTGGGTTATCTTACTGATACATGTCCTAAACTACATGTAATACAAGTTCAAACTTACGTGTAATAAATGTCCTAACCTACGTGTGATACATGCCCTCACCTACATGTGATACAAGTCCTAACTTATGTGTGATACATATTCGAACCTACATGTGATACAAGTCCTAATCTACGTGTGATTCAACTCCAAACCTACGTGTGATACATATCCTCACTTAGATGTGATACAAGTCCTAACCTACGTGTGATACATGTCCTCACCTACATGTGATACAAGTCCTAACCTACTTGCAAAAACTAATTAATGGGACAAATCGCACCTGCCAGATGATATATTCTCATAACAACAGCCAGATACATATTTTATTTCTTATAATGCTATATATATTAGTCCTGTAAACTCCCCTGTTGGAATAATGGGCCATGGCGTCACCATAATGGCTGTAACTGATGTGGTTTCTGTATCAAGTAGTTTTTTTCTTGTTTTTCTTTCTTTTCTTTTTCTTTTTTTTTTGCTAGCCCCAAACACAACCGGTTTTGAATTGAAAGTTGTCATTCTCCTAGACTGATTACCAGCTAAGGCTAGAGAGTCCAGTCTACCCTAATATTTACTCCATAGCAGCAGAAGAAGAGGTGGATTCATACTTACTCCAAAGCTATTTATAGAAAATCGAACACTATATGTTTGGTTGAAATTTGAACTCGACACAACTTTCCCACTTTCCGTGCCAATAACCTCTATGCTACACACAAATTCCTAAAGTTGAAAGCATATATTTAAAAAAAAAAAAAAAAAAAAACACCGACAAATGACGACATAACGAATTCTGACAAATGTTTTTTTCTCTATCAGCATCAAACCGTATTTAACCACGTGACCTCAATATCAAAGCATCTTTGGTGGTTTTGATCATCGCGTATTTATTTGTGAAGTTTATGCTAAATATTCGAGATCAGAGAAAAAGCTACGACTTGAAATGGTGATTGTCAAGGTATGTAGGTCAACCAATTGAAAGATTATGGCAGCTTAAATACCCTTCTACACTAGTTTGGTTTGGTTTGTTCTGTTTTGTGACATATCATTGTGACTCATTGAGTTATTTAATGCCGACAAAATTTTCATTATTGGTAATATTTTTTTCACAAAAATCTATTCCTGTTAATATTTTTTCCGTCAAAAATGTATTTCTTCACTGGTAACTTTTTTTTCAAAAAATGTATTGCTAGTAATATTTGTTTTTCAAAAATGTATTGCTGGTAATAATCTTTTTACAAAATATTTCTGGTAGTAAAACCTATTTTTACACTTTCATAGTGTTTTGACCCAAATTTGGGTGTTAACTATTTGCCCATAGTTGGGACCCTAACAGGTGCTACCACCCCGGGTCAGGGTGGACCTGGGATCATCAGCAATTAAGAGGTGGTTCCACGCTCTTCAAAGCCTCCTGATCAGAAGCCTTGCTGTTGGACGTAGTTTATCGTCTTACCCAGGACGCGGATGTAGTTTATCGTCATACCCAGGACGGTCTACACTAGTTCCACAAAGTTTGGGTTTTATATCGTATGAAACTAAGCTACTGAACAGGCATTTCAGCCCTCTTAAAGGCTTAAATAAATGTTGACATTCCCGTCCGATGTTCGAACCTAGGTAAGAATCAAAAATGTGTATATTGGTTTTACGGCAAGCAAGCAGGTAAATTTTCTTCACTAGAAAAATTTGCACAAGCCAATGTTTAAATCTCAAACTAGCCTACATTACCATAAAGAGCATATTAGGAATCGCTTAGCGAGATAATTCAAATACTTTTTTTTCTGGCCTTACAGCCATATCACGTTGAAACACGGGTCCCGTACGATCACCGAAGTTAAGCGATGTCGAGCCTGGCCAATACCTAGATGAGTGACCGCTTGGGAATACTTTCTAATTAGATGCTGTAAGCTTGGTTGTGTGATGGATAATGGATTAGAATTGTTAATCGGAGAGCAGAGTTCCTATTCCAGTTGGGTTCGTTATATTCACTTACGTGAAAATACCATTGAGAAGGTATGAATTCATCCCTTGTACCCCCACCTATAAGCTAATTAGTAAGACTTCTATCACTAAATCATTATTATCTCCAAAAAAAAATGTTACAGTTTAATCTAAAATATTTTCTGGCTTTAAATAACCTGCAAAAGGTTGATAAGTCGTAGAAAACTAATCAGTAAAAACAAACTTTTTTTTTTCTTTTTAATGTCAGTTATGACTAAACGTTTATTTTCTTATTACTCTCAGAGTAAAGTCTACTTGGTACATTTTTAAAAGGTTAACCATTTAAAAAAATACTTTGCTTAAAAATGGATCATGCAGAAATAAATCTGAAATTTTGGTGGATTAATCGATTGATTTGTTTTTTATGACTTATCGACCCTTTGTGGATTATTTAAAGTCGAAACATTTTGGATTTTTAAGAATATTTTTTCTTTTTGCGAGTGAATATTGCATTTATCATATTTTTAAAATAATAATGATTTTTTCCAGATACAAGTCCTACTGTTTAACCCATAGATGGGTGGATGAGATGGATTCCTACTTTTTCCATAGTATTTGCTCATAAGTGAATGTAACGAACCCATCTCGAATTCGAACTTGGCACTGCAATTTCTCATTCTGAACCGCTATCCACTGAAATTTTGGTGGCAACAAAGAAAAAGTATAGGCATCTTCCTAAATAAATAAACCTTTCTCTGTTTATATTATGAATGCATTTAGCACTACACCAAGAACGATATTTTAGCATTTATCAGGCCGATTAATTCTAAGAAACTAATGGAAGAACGCAAACAATCGAACCTACGCAAATAAATTCGTTTTGTCAATTTAAAAAGCCAAACAAATAAATGGTTAATCTATACATTGTATCTATTACGAGTTTTATCAGAACAAAAGAACAATGGCCGACATCATCTTTGGGTCGATACAAAATAATCAATTTATCTTGTTTGTCATAAAAAGCATAAATGTTCCTACCACGTTATGCTTGTAGGAGTATCGTAATGGTTGACTTTTACAACCGAGACCTCTTAGTTAAAGGTTCAAAGCCCATAAGGAAGATTAAATGATTGGTTCGAACAAGATTTGTAGAAGATATCAGCTTGAAACATAAAACTTTTAAAACCCGTCATGTCTGAGTGATGTTAATGTTAACTATTTCTTCCCTTTGTTGTACTTTTTGACAGCATTTCTGTCACTGTACTCTATGGATTTCCCCAGGTACCTGTCGCGTTTGTTAAGTGTTCCAGAACTTTCACAGAATATTTTATGTATTTGATTCACGGGTGTATGTCATTCCCATTTCTTACTGTCTTCTTTCTGAAGGATTTACTGGACACTTAAATACAAATTCCTCCGTTATGCTCCACCATTAATCTAGCTTATATTTCTGAATTTACCAGATCCCGGTATTCAATTCACAACTTACAGGGAACGAAATAAACCTCGTCAGTATCTTCATTTTATTATCGTGGAGTCTTAACCCTAATATCTGTCCTTTTCTAATTAGATACTCCTATATGATCTTTATATCTATGCTAGGTCTACTGATTTCATTATTTGATTATAGAACATGCTTCAGCCTATTCAGTCAGCTTATTCTTTAAAGTTCTTCCATGTCTGATAGTGTTCCTCTATTACATGGTGTAGAAAGTATTTCCATAGACAGTCCTGGGTATGACGATAAACTACACCTGGCAACAAGTCCTCTGATTGAGAGATTGAAGGTTTTGAGGAGCCTGAAACAAACTTTTAATTGCTGTTATTACCAAGCCCACACTGGGAATAACAGCGACCCCTCAAATAAAAAACTAAACACTATGAAAGTATAAAAATATATTCTTATAGTAAAATACCAGAATAAATTTATATATATATATATATAAATATTATAAATTAACAGATTTAAAATATGGTTTCTTCGCTAAATAGGAATTAAAAACCATGTTTCAAAAATTATATAATAAAAATATCAATTATATAATAAAAAATATCAATAAGAACACCGGATTATATATCTTACTGTTCTTTCTTTTATTATATATATATATATATATATATATATATATATATATATATATATATATATATATATATATATATATATATATATATATATATATATATATATATATATATATATATATATATATATATATATATATATATATATTACCAACGATACATTTTATCTTTTGTTGAAGGCATGAATAACTCATAGAGGTTGATATGCCCCTAAACAAAATCAACCAAATCTATTCTAATATTTTTCAAGTTTATTTTTATGGTGTTTGTTTTCAGAATAAAACGACTGGTTTCTTTGTATTTACAAATTCAATGCTATTACGAAGTTTAGATTGTATCATTTTGATGCTTAAGTAATATTCAGTGTATGTATCTTTTCTGTCAAATTAGAGTTTCATAATAGTAGACAAAGCGTGATTTGACACTTGTGAAATAAAAAAAATGAATAAAAGACTTCACTTTGATACATAAAGCACATTTTGAATTATAATAAATTGGAAAACAAGCAAAAATTCCGCAGTGCATCTTTGTATTTAAAGAACAACAATAACGTGCAAAGACAACAGTATTTTTAAATAGATTTTTTTACTAAACTGTTTCACTAAGTAAAAAACTAATTACTTAAAATCCTTTGAAATACTGAATGAGTTCAGTGAGGTTGAATGATCAGATAGAAGTCAATAGCTCAACTCCAATTCCCTTTCTCAACTTAATCTGTTTTGTATTTATTTATTTATTTATTCAAGAACCAAACAATGTTGGAAGGTAGATTTGTTTCTGACAATTTTTTTAAGTCTCTCTATTGCTTACACTGAAGCAGTTTAGGCTTTCCATTTTGTTCGAAGGTGAGATATATCCAGATTTTGGAATAATTGCTACAACCTATGAATACTAGTGTTATTATGCTTTCAGGCATTTCCTTTAAAAAAATCCCAAAGAATTACCGACCAAGTCGATAAATGACATTGTGTCTTTGATATGTACTATTTGAGGAGGGAGATCAATAAGTCCGTAGTCTAATGATGAAAAAGAAAGTGCTTTATATATATACATATATACATACATATACATAAAAAATGTCTTTAAAATAATTGTCGGACTTTGTCCATTTCATAATGTGTGATGTCATTTGTTTACATTTGGATACGCATCGAGCAGATATGAATGTATGAGAGAAAATCATGGAGAATTGTAGTTTAAAAACAGTTAATTCGACCTTGCTAACCTTGGCTCAATCGCTAAAAGCACGTCAGGCTATATGACGGTTCCGTATAGGATACAGGTTCGATTCCTGTCGGAGGACACATATTTTCTATGAAAATTTCTCGGATATTCAGACCGGTAAATGTTGTTAATACTGTTATTATAAACAGAGCATTTACTTAAATATTTGAATCTATAAAAAAAGAACGTATAAACATAAAAAAAATGTCTTTAAAATGCATATGTATGGATATATATATATGTATATCATTATTTAGTCTTTGAGCTTGATTCTGCAGTAGTTGAATACGAATACGAATTGGCGTATTGTAAATGCTTTATTACTTTTCAAGTGACCTAATATATGCGGGTTGAGTATTCTGGGCATGCGTTCGCCTATTCGCGCGTGCGCGTGTACGCGCACACACACACACACACACGTATTTATGCTTGCATATATATCAGCATACATAAATATATCCATACGTAGACGCTAATGCAAACGTACACAGTCATAAACCCACATATGTGTGTGTGTGAGAGGAGCAGTGGTGAGTGCGCACGCGCGAATGCATGTAAACGTTTGATTAAAAACCAGTGTAAGTCCCTTGTAGATTTTTTTTTCTTTTTACTTTTTCAATATTTCTAACAATTTATTTTGCTTCCTGGTTAAAATTAGAAATATTTTCAATTCTTGGAAATATTGAAAAATTGAATAAAAAGGAAATAATCAACAAAGAACTTTCTTTGGCTTTTTATCAGTGGCGAATAAATGAAAAATAGCTGTCCAAATACACGCAATATATATACACACACACACACAGACACGTACGTGTGTGTGTGTGTGTGTGTGTGTGTGTGTGTGTGTGTGTGTGTGTGTGTGTGTGTGTGTGTGTGTGTGTGTGTTTGTGAAATTATCGGACATCCAGGCTGGTAAATTTAATTAATACCTTTTGTTATAAACAGAATATTTACTTAAATAATTGCACCTATAAAAATGACGTATAAACAGAAAATATATTAAAAATAATTGTCGGGTTTATATATATATATATATATATATATATATATATATATATATATATATATATATATATATATATATATATATATATATATATATATATATCGGGGTCTCCCGCAAAGGTAAACGCAGGTTCGAATGCTGTCGAAGGGCGCAATTTAATAATAAAAATTTTCGAATGTGCAGGTCGGTAAACGTATTAAAATACTGTTTAAAATAAATAAAAATACGTGTATCCACTAAAAATAACGTTTAAGCAATTATATATATATATATATATATATATATATAGTTAAATTCAGAGATCAATTCTGTGGACAAAGCAAATTGGTATGAGATAAAAATTTGAAACAAAATCTCAGTTTTTTGCCGACGCGTTTCGTCTTCCGATTTCATTTTCTGCCTCGAAAAAGATTTTTTCCAGTCGTCATTGCATCTACACACACGCACACACGTGTAAAAAAAAATTTTCTATAGTCTACAATCAATGCTTACACATCAAACGCATCTGTTCTCACACGGAAGATTACAACTTACACATAGGACAACTTTACAATCATTTTCTAAATAGGAATTACCCACCCAAAATATTGAAAGAATCTATCATCAAAGCTTCTAAACTTAACAGAAACATTC